AACCAATATTTGCAAAAATGTGAAGAAATTGAAACCCTTGTGAATGTAAATGGTGCTGCTGCTGTGGAAGACAGTTTGGAGGCTCCTCAAAAAGCTGAACAAGGCCGGAAATGGTGGTTCACACCTGTAGTGCCAGCTACTTGGGAGGCTGAGTTGGGAGGATCACTTGAGCCTGGGAGGTTGAGGCTGCAGTGAGCTGTGATAATGCCAATACATTCCAGCCTGGGCAACAGAATAAGATGCTGCTTCAAACAAAACAAAACAAAAGTGCTAAACATAGCATTATCCTATAACTCAGCAGTTTCACTCCTATGTATACACTCAAGAAAATGGAAAACAGGACCTGAACAAGTGTTCGAACACCAATGCTCATAGAAGCCTGATTCCCAACGCCAAAAGGTGATAACATCCCAACTGTTGACAGATGAATGGATAAACAAAATATGGTATATACATGCAATGGAATATTTTTAAAAGGAATGAAATTCTGATCCATGCTACATGAATGAACCTTGAAAACTTGATGCTAAGTGAAATAAGATACACAAAAGCCCAATATTGTTATGATTCCACTTATAAGAGGTATCTAGAAAGGCAAATTCATAGAGACAGAAAGTAGAACAGAGGTTACTAAGGGATGGAGCAGGAGGAAATGGGAAGTTATTGCTAATGGGTATGGAGTTTCTGTTTGGGATGACGAAAAAGTTCTGGAAAGCATGGTATAGTTGCACAGTATTGTGAATGTACTTAATTTCACAGCGCTACGCACTTAAAATGGTAAATTTTATGTTATGCATATTTTACAATCAAGATGTAAGTGATTAGATCAATCCTATAATAAAGAGCTTATAAAAAATGAGTAGAAATGGCCAGGTGCGGTGGCTCCTGCCTGTAAGCCCAGCACTAGGGAGGCCAAATTGGGCGGATCACTTGAGGTCAGGAGTTCAAGACCAGCCTGGCCAACCTGGTGAAACCCCCATCTCTAACAACAACAACAAAAATACAAAAACTAGCCAGGCGTGGTGGCGGGCGCCTGTAATCCCAGCTACTCGGGAGGCTGAAGCAGGAGAATCGCTTGAACCCGGGAGGTGGAGGTTGCAGTGAGC